TTGTGAGGATGTCAGTACACTTACAGAATTATTGTGAGGATGTCAGTACACTCACGAAGTTATTGTGAGGATGTCAGTACACTCACAGGGTTATTGTGAGGATGTCAGTACACTCACAGAGTTATTCTGAGTGTTGCTATGCTTACGTATATTTTTTGTCGAGGAAATTGAAAACTGGTATACTGCTTATAAAGTAATTATCACATTATATACAAGTAAAGAACACTGCTAAAACATAAGATTAAAATTACTATATGTAATAGTTTAAAACTAATGTTTAACCAAGTAAAATATTACTATAACTTTGAATATATAAACAAATGATCTTGTTTCTAAACAAGCTAATATTCAATTCTAAACAAATTATTCATTGTGAAATAATAAAAGCAAAATAAATACCATGACCTCAAAAAACAGAAGGAATACAATATATTTCCTTTTTATTGTTTGAAGTGTATTATAGGCAATGTAGACATGGTAGGGTTTTCACTTTAATTAATTTCTCTAGACCGGTTTTTAAAGTGGGATAATGTTTGGCTTCTACACTGAAGCCAAATCATTACATCACTCTAGAAACAGACCAGAGGAGTCCATTAATGCCAAAACTCTAACAATTCTCCTTTATATTCTAAGAATGAAGAATTTCAGTCTAATCAAACCACAGGAAAGAAAGCTATGATGCATACCATGTCCTCGAATATCTATTGCAGCTACTTGACACTCCACCATTTTGACAATTTCACTCTGTAAAGAAAAAATATAAAAACACAGTTGTTTTAAAACAAGTTTTGTCGCAGTGTTATTCCAATATGGCTTGTTTTAAACTTGAAATCATCCCTGACTTAAATCATTGTACATTTGTATATATTTAACACCAACTTAAGTTTGAAGGTAACTTCTTTTTATCATCATTTTTATCACTATTTGCAGAGCAACTACAATTATCTTTATACCTCATCATCACAATTAATTTATAACTATTAACCATACTTCTCACAGAACTACAAGTCTGAGAAGACGTATCTAGACAAACTAAAAGACATCAACAAATACAGAAGAACTTGGTATTTACAACTAATCTTCAGAATTATAATTAAGTAATTAACAACAACCACATAATTACAATTATTTAATTATCAAACAAAATTAATCTTGATAACTAAAAAATTATAAATGTTTTAAAATAATTAAAAGTAAGATATAAATTAATGGAAATAACAATGTATACATAGAAGCGATATACATACAGAAGTCACAACTAATGAGAAATGGCAAACAATGGGGTGAATGTCTTAAAGGTACAGAACACAATTATGTAAAAAGTAAATAAGTTGAACAGTATTTTATTTATGTAAGCCCTTGACTTTACACAGAAGATTACACCTTGTTTTCATGTTGCCACACAGTTTATCAATACAGATATCCTGTAATACTTCCCACAATTGTTATTTGGTTGCCTTTTGACCTCAGTTTTTACACAAGTCCAGAATTTCCATACTGTGCAGACAATGCCATGACTGTTCCATCAGCTCTATACCATCAAGAAATTATTTCATCACAATTTTTTTTGTATGCTTGAGATCGTTGTCTTGCTAGAAGATAAATCCCCACCTGATGAGTCATGTTTTTGAGGGAGAAGTATGATGAATCAGAATCTTGATGTACACATTTGCATATTCCACTGTTTGTGGTATTCAACCTTTTGGTTTAGTTGTTTCCAAAAGACTACACATCCACTAAAATGACATTGCATTAATGTGTATCTTACTATTCTCTAAGTAACATTTACAGTAAGTAAAGAATACACCCCAAGACATCACATTGTCAGTTTCTGTTGTCTAATGCAACTACTACTTTTATCAACAGTGCCAGTTTCTTCCACTCTCTTCAGTCTTGCACACAGCTTCTACTAAAACTCTGGCCACACGGAGTATACGTGATCAGACAAACTCTGATTTCTATATGTATTTAAACCCTGCACTCCCACTACTAATACAGCGCATAGTATGGCTACCTGTACATCCACAGGATCTATAGCGGTGTGATATGAGCTGCAAGACAACAAATCACAGTATAAACTACTAACACGTGATTCTCCCTTTGTGCAGTTCAATTCCACATGATAAAGAATTGGCATTCCCATACTATTTGCCTTTTGTAACCTATTTCTTCACCACTTCCATAATTATTTCTAATAATGTGTACAAGATGTTTTCATTCACAATTGAAGTTGCTTTACCAATAAATGTAAAGCTATGTTCAAGTTTCTATTCAATGTTAAAACTGTTTTTGCTCCAGAAAACATTGCGGATTGTTTACTACAGTTGACCAGAGGTTGTAAATATCTCACAAAATTTGTTATTCAAGTACTGCAATCAAGATCTGAATAAATATATCCTAGAGTATCACAAAACATAAAATCAGAGCAGACCCTTCAAAGCAACAGTAAGCTTTGGCATAAACCTCCTGTTTGAGTAAACAAATGTACACTAAAACAAATAACATCAAGCGAGTCCCAGCAAAGTGAAGAAACCTACACAAAACACCACACCACAGTGAACAGTAAGAAAACCTAAATACAACACTGCCTCACTAGAATTAAAGAATTCTCACAAAACATCATCTCAAAATATATAAAATAAGAAAACTTACACAAAAAAGTGCCCAAGAAAGTCCACTGTATCCACCTCCATGCAGAAGAAAAAGAAGAGGCCCTGAATTTCCTGCTGTATATACACAAAAAATCTTTCAGAATTTGTCAAGAAAGCAAAGACTCCAGAAACAGAACACCACAATTACCAAACAGTCAGAAGTAATTACAATATACATCTTCTAATATTTTTGGAATTTTCCTATTCACAGTTTTTAAAATGTTTTTACAATATGTACTTAATAAACAGAAATCGTCATTTTTATGTAAAATAAATCAACTAAAGTTCTGACCTGTTTAAGCATCGAGGTGTGAGACAAATATATAAACAATTACAGGTCTATATAAAAAGAGAATTTTGAATTTACTAATAAACTCATAAGGTATTAATATCAATTAATACTCCTACAGCATTTCAATTAACTTTATCCACATGTAGACTCTGTCATGTTACAAAATCTTCTAAGTCATATGTAACTCATATAAAAGATGTTTTTATATCATTAACCATATGACATCCATGAAACAAAAAAGATACATTTCCTTCACCAACATGAACATCCAGTCTTTTTTCAAAGTAGGAATCCCAAGATAAGGGAGTGTAATCGCGCTTTCTACTCAAATTTTTTTGCACCACCACCTCTGAAAAAAAAACAACTGATGAGAAAACTTCAAAATTGAAAAGCCAGTACATAGACTTTTGGAGATAACTATATAAGAAATAGATAAGATAAGAAAATTTGGATTTGAAAAATATATATTCAAAAAATAAAAGTATTTGGCATAATTGCATACTATTTATCTTTACATTAGCCTTATACAACTGGCAACTGAAAATTACAATTGATGATCACACAACTAACATAAATTGCTACTTTGAACTTAGGCTTAATACAGTTGTATTTATGATATGTGGGATAGAAATGAATTAAAATGAATTGAAAAATGTGTGACAAAAACCACTGAAATAAAGGGACTTTTTTTTCCTTTACAAAATAGAGAAATTTTGGAGTTTGAGATGTTAAAGTATTCAGACATACATAATTCACTTCAATTTCAAACTAATTTCAGTTAAACAATATTTTTCACCATCCACATTTAGCACATTACTGTTGCATTCAATCATGCAATTCAATCTCATAGGTATCTCAGTATAACAGTACATAACACTTTTGTTTTATGTACTATTACACTGATGTTGATGTATTTTTTATACTGAAATTACAAACTCTTCCACTGCTAGTCTTAGCACCTGACTTCTGTGATAAGTAACTATATTATGGAATGTTCTTATTTAGTTTAACATCTAGCTGAGTGGTTGCTACACAATTATATATTCTGTATCACTTCACTAAACATAAGAATTTCATTTAAAGAGCAGTTACAGCAGCACTGCCTCTCCCCAAGTTATGAAGTCCCACTACAAATAAACTGTTTATAAAACAAACTGTAAAACACTACCTCTCCTAAGTTATGAAATTTCACTACAAATAAACTGTTTATAAAACATCTTCCCTGTTCTTGTGACTTTCTAATAATACACATACCAAATCCTTGAAATATTTTAATAATTTCCAGTTTATTATTCTAGAAATTGCTTATATTTTTTCCTAGTTTTATGTCGCTATATTTTATAAATCAGAATTACATTTTAAAATCACTATATACCTTGCAAGCCTATGACACATGTACTGATTAACTTGATAAAGATCACAGTTTGAAACACGCATAATACCAGGTTGTGCATTTATGTTCATTACTACTTCTACAATATTTCATCACTTTTATAATATTTATGTTCAATAGCTTCACTCATTACAAGGATATCTCTAATTTTAATATGTTTTAGTGAAGCTTGAGCATAATTGTAACAGTTATCAGAAGATGTAACTGTTATAGTAATAGGACTCATTTCTTGATGATAAGTAATAATAAATAGGTTCTATGATTCTGTTATCTTCAGATGTAAAAATTTTTAAATTTTTTTTTTCTCCTTTTGATTTTTATTTCTCCCCTTATTTTTTTAATCATGCACACGTCAATTTCAAAAAGAATTCTTAAATGTTTGAAGATCAAAAGTTAGTTTTAGAAGTATTATTACAAATCTTGTTTCTATAATTCTGTCTCATACCCAGTATTTGCAGAATGCAGAAAATAAAAAGTACTAATATATTCTTGCTTGACTTTTGATTCACTTGTATATATTTTTACCAATTTAATCTAGATCCCCACTAATATATATTTATATAATCCCTTTGTCTAACATTACATTAACATCTCTTGTATGTACGAAAAACCTAACAGTAATAAAAATATCCATATATGATTCACATGACTTTTCATAAGACATTTATAGAATTTTGAAGCACCTCAACAGCCTAGTTTCTAAATTCTATGAGGGGTCAATATAGAATTACAGGGTCGGTGCTAGAGAAGTGATGGGGTGAGCCATGCACCCCCTAAATTTCGCTCTGCCCTACCCAAGTTCATTCTCATTAGAGTTTATATTTAAAAAATATATATATTATCAATTTTGAAAAATCGAATGATTTTTTCAGTCGCTAAGAAGAGTCAACAAGAGCTTCCCCCACTGCCGGGCCTGTGGAATTATATTATTGTATCTTAAAATTAAAACTAAAAGTTATCTTATAATTTACGTTACAGATTTATAATTATACATAAAATCTATCAAAAACAGCAAAACGAGTGTGTCACACATTCTCAGCAGATTCGGCGAAAATTATTTTCAAATAATTCACTACACCTAAGTTTGGTACATGATGTCTCGCATGCTGTCTACAAATTATAGTCTATACACATTATAATTTAAATATAGAAATACCGGTGTTACCAATGGCAATAATCAACTCAACCTTTACTTTCAGTTTCAAGATACGTCTTCACGTAACGTCAATTGTATTAATAATATTACTTTTCATTATTTAATAAAGAATTATTTAATAGAATATTGTACAATTTCATTATTGTCTTACAAAATAAATTCACCTCATTTCACCCAAATGTCGAGGAGAGGCAGGTGGAAGCTTATTTTTCAAAATCTTGCGCTGAAGATCCGACATTTCTCTGCAATCTGATTTTAAGTTCTATCCACCAGATGTCAGACTTAAAAAGGCCCTTCATCTCATAGATTGAATTTTTGTAATAATTCTAAAATTTATAATTTCATTAATAAAAACTTAATAATTAGGCAAAAAATTCAGACAATTTATTAGAATTAAAATTAGAGAAATGATCAAAACGTGATATAGATAACTTTCCCTATATCATCTTGGGTTATTCAAATAATTAATAATACAATATATTAATATATTAACACTTTTTGTGCGAAAACTTATTTCCTTTTATTTTTTATTATTATTTTGGGAGTGGTGCAGAGGTGTGTCTGGACCAGGGGTAAAATTCTAAAAAAATAAAAGTAGAGATACTTAGCTGGGTGAAGTGGAGCTGTTTTTGAAAAATAAAAATCAATCTACGTGTAATCATAAAAAGCAACAAAGCAACTCAAATAAGTCCCAGTACCTGAACCGCGTGGTCTGGACTGTGAGACGAAGTTTCATGGTTCGCATCCCGTTGACGCATAAACGCTTTCTGTACCCTAGAACATGGTTGAACTATAACAGGAAGGTCAAAACTCACCATTCGATCAGACAGTAATAAACCAAAAGTAGGTGATGTTGAGTACTTACCCTCTAGTTGTCACTTCGAAATTTGGTATGATTATGTACAGAGCAAGTTAGGTGGCTTTATGATTACAATAAGCTTTCGTTTTGCTCAGCCAATACTGTAAAGTAGTCATTCTTAATATTTGGACATTTTAAAGATGGTTTTATAAGGGCGATTTTTATGGCCGCCATTTTGTTTCATCACGATTTCTACTATTAAGTACTACTGTACTGAATGATGCAGATTCTTCCTTTGGAAGATTGGGGTTTAAATTTGTTTGTTTATTTCAACTGATAATGGTTATTTTACCCAAAATTTTTAATATTGTAAAATTACAGTATTTCTTTTTTCCTTCTTATTTTTATTATACTTTCATTGTTAATTCAAGGGATCTGTTTTGCATAAAATCAAAGGATCGTTCTTTACTTCGAACATATTGTTTCTTAACAGTAGTTTTTTTACCTTTCACGAATTTAAAATAATTACTTGCCCTCCGATGGTTCAGTGGCAAGTTTGAGGGCTTATAACGTTAAAATTCAAGTTTCAATACTCTGTATCATGGATTTACGCTTGACAACAAACCTACTATTCGAATTTGAAAACCTACTATATCCGATTTATTTTCGTATCTTTTTAAACGTTTTTATTTTCATCTTATTAAATGAGTATGTATTGTTAGGATTTATAATGTATTGTTGCGTTAGCGAAGTCACATGACTAGTCTCACGCCACGTTTCTAGAACTATCCTGTACCTTGGCAAATGCTCTAGCATTTACTAGATATAGGGTAGTCTGGTATATAAAAGAGGGTGACAACGTAACGGGGAACAGTAGTATGTGTGTAGACAGTGAGTAATTGATCTGCAGTCAGAGAGTATTATTGAGCACGTTCGTTGTTATAGCGTTTGTTGAAATTAAGTGTATCGTAAAGTTATATTCGGAAAGAATAAACCAGTTTTATTAAGTAAGGACTTGTGTCGCTAAAGTTTCGTCGGAACGAAGTTACGGAAAGTTAATTAACAAACGGAGACGTAACAGTATTTATATTTTATGCACAAAATTTTCATCTGTTAAGAAGGTTTTTAGTTTAATAACGTATCTGTTTCTTTTTTAAAGGTTAGACTGCACCATTCTGAAGGGACATATAGTTATTGTTTAAGTCTTTTTTCAGTTTTTTTGTGCATGATTTCCACGCAAGTATTACATAATTGTGTATAATAACATAACATAATGTTTAGGGACAACAAGTGACCTATTGATCCATTTCAGCTATCACATTATCTAAACTATTAAATAAAAATCCTAAAGCCAACCCTTATCATTCATATAATTATCAAGCTTTCTCTTAAATTTACTGCTTTCACAACACCCAATAGCAATCCATTCCAGAGGCCCACCACCCTGTTAGAAAGATAAAAGTTTATTAGCTGAAGATGATTCCTACCTAGCCAAAATTTATATTTGTGTCCCCTAGTCCTACTATTCTCACTATTATATATGAAAAAACATGATGTATTAACATTATTAATTCCCTTTACAATCTTAAACACCCCAAGGAGATCCACTCTAACTCTCTTTCTCATGAGAAAACAATCTCAGAGATATTAACCTTTTGTACGACAACACCTTCATCCCAGGCACCATTCCAACAATTCAGTGTCCTTCCTAAGGTAAGGGGCCCAATATTCCAATACCTATACAATGAAATCATAACCTCTTTAGACGTGTATTCAATATTTCTGTAGATACAACCTAAAATCCTGTTTACCCTACCACTAGTAACAGTACACTGCTTGGGTGGCATTAGAGACTGGTCAACTATTACACCAAGATCCCTTTCTTTCATGACACTGTTAAGGTTATTCCCATCCAATTTATACTTATAATTCAAATTATGATAACCCACATGCATTTATTATAATTAAACCCATCTGCCATATATTTGCCCAACCTCACTAAATGATCCAAATCCTTTTGTAAAGCAGCAGCATCCTCTTCACAGCTAGTGACACCCAAGACCTTAATATCATCAGCAAATTGAAGTTATTTATTGACCATTCCCTCTTCTATATCTTTGATGTAAATTAAAATGAGCAAAGGTCCCAAGATTGAGCCCTTGACTGAACTCCATTTATAACAACCCTCTACTTTCTTCCATCCAGCCACTCTTCTATCGAATTCGCTATATTATCCTCCACACATACAAGCCTTTAACTTAGCACCTTGTCAAATGCTTTCTGAAAATCCAGATACACCAAATCTGCACCCTTACCCTCATCTACATAAGCAGTAACCTTTTCAAAGATTTGTAAGGCAAGATTTTCTCTTAGTGAAACCATATTGACTATCCAGTAAAATTCTAAAATTTGCTAAATAACTTTGCAAAATATCTTTTATCAGACTTTCCAAAAATTTTCCTACAATTGATGTAAGACTAATAGGGCTATAATTACTAGGACAATTTTTATTACCTCCCTTGAAAAGAGGAGTGACATTAGCTAACGTCCAATCCTTTGGCAACTGCCCACTATTCAAGGATTGAGTAAGAAATTTGTGAAGTAATCTTAATCTAACTAAATGATGAAGTTTTAAGCTTAGTGGGAAATAAATAGACAGGGGACATGATGTAATGTAAAAACTGTCTTTAGTAGTGACCCAACAAGTAGTGTACATACTTGAGTAGACAAGAAATGGTCACCTCTACGAGACAAGTGAATGAATTGGCACCCTTCTTTCTCTTGAGACAGACATCTGTTAAACTTAACATTTTGAAAAACCAAATAGAACTAAAGATTCTTACTGAAACAGGTAAACTTAGTTCTATTTAGTGCAATGAGTATCACCACATAACTAGCAATTCTCTCAGAGAATCTATGGACAGAAATCATCCAGTGATCATCACTGCTGTCCATGTTTGTACACTAATATGCAAAGTTAAAGCAATATCCCTAAATGCAAAGAAGATATGGTATCTGCTGTTCCAAACAAATACATAAATGTAACTGGAGCGAAACAATTTCAGTTTTCTGGACCACATGTTTATGTATTGAAACAAAATATATTAAGAATTTTTTAAAATCCTATATTAATAAAAGCAGAAGGTAGAAAACTGGTATGCATGCATGTCACACTACCTCCTTCTAAAGAGGGTACGTAATAGATGTTAAAGTTCTTTTTTGTATGCAGATTAATTTTCAACTTCATTTAATTTTGAGATACATATATCCTTTTTAGATTTACTCAGATTTCTGACAAACTGAGAACTTAGTCTGTTGTTCAGATATTGAAGCATTTGATGGACTATTTATACTGAACAATACTTTTTTTTTGGTATAACTAGTAACTTATTTAACAAAGAATTACTTAAAAACACCCTTTCTCTCACACACACCCACACTTACTTAAAGTAATATGTAGCAGTTGAAAGCATTTATCAGACATATATATGATACTGAAGAAATTTAGGCTTTGTGTTCTCTTAAAAACTTCAATGTAATGTTGTTGTATCAACAAATTCATTAAAGTGCTTGCTATTCACAACCACCAAAGTTATGTTGTATACCTACTAATTGTTTACATGCCTTGTGTAAGGAATTATTCATTTTCATGCTTTATTTTAAAATAACACAATGTAAAAAAAAAGAAAAAGTATTACAATGGACAATAGACAAAAACAAGAATACTTTATTAAATGTAATGCTACTACAGTCAAGCAACACAATAAAAAATCTCCAATAACACCACATTATCATCAATTTTTTAAACCACTAAGGAAAATAAAACTTGCAGGAGGAGTAGAAAAGTCAAGTAACATTTTGAATTTGATACTGGATTCTGCATCGAATATGAAAAGGAACTTTATGAGTAAAAGCAACTTCAAATTTTCATTTTGGACTACAACCCAGTTTGCAATGTTTTCAGAAAACAGAAGTGGGTTTTATGCCATGTTTTCAAATTCCAAGTATGCTTTGTTTCAAACAGTTCTTCAGAAATGTGTACGACATTTTATCGGCAGTGACGGGAAGAGCATTTTTAAACCACTAGACATTTTTAATTATGAAAACATTACAGGTTTGATGTACAACAACCTGTAATGATACTTAGTATAATGTATCACAAAATACAGAGGTAAACTGGACTTTAAAATCTAGAAAAATACTGCACGTTTACTTTTCTTACTTGCTCTATCATCATAAAAGTCAAAATGTTTTACAATTTAGCTATAGAAAAAAGGAATATAAAGTGAGGGTTGGTTTAAAAAAAAGTGAAGGGCATTTAGTTTATCAAAAGGAATGTTATCTCAGTACAAGTATTTTATGTATAAAAAAGTAGGAAAGGCTGATTCTGGTTCATTACTCACCTTAGAAGAAGTATGAAACAGAAAATGCAACCTTTAACTACACACATGCTCGCTTAATGTGGAAGCCAATTTCTTCTACAATTCTTAACAATACTGAAAGCCACAACAGCTCTACTATTTAAAGAATGTATTTTTTTTTAGTTATCAAAAATTATTTTATGTATTTATTACTTCAAATAATTCAGCTTTTCAGTTGGGTATTGCCTAATTTACACCCTATTGAGCAGTCATATCTGGAATGATATTAAATATTGTGATAAACAGTCTTTCTTTCCTAAAAAACTAAATTAACAATCAAACAATTTGTTGTGGCTGTTTCATCAAAGCATGATGTCTACACAAGTAACAAAATTACTCTGGCATAAGCACTTCACAGAAGATTCAATATCATAAACATCACATATTTGTTTTTAGATATCATGATAAAAGTTATAACAATTATCCAATAAGCAATTATAAAAAATAATAAAACATCTGTATACACTTCAAGTAATTTGAGAAGTTGAGTTAAAAATTAATCTATAAAGCACAAATAAATTTAAATAAAATGCAATATATGAAATTCAAATTTACTCTTTTTAAATTCTAATATTAATCCAACACATAATATCTGTGCTTTTTTGGAGGGTCTGTCATGCTTAGATGGGGAGGGGTTCTACATAGAACCCACAAAAAAAGAGATGCAATAACCAGTGAAATAAACAATAAACTCCAAAATCCCTTTACAAAATAGGGTAATTTAACATAATACAATTTAAAAAAAAATTAAAAATCACAAAACACACAAAACTACTAAAACAATTCTTCAAATATTTCTACAAAATAAATTGGTTTACTACAAAGCTTGATTCTCATTCAAAGGAATAAAGCAATGTTTAGTTTTAATATATAAAACTCCTACAAATAGAAGTAAAGCTCTCTGAACAAATAATAAAAAAATATACAATTTGCTCCTTAGGTTTTTCTGTTACCATAGATTCTTAGTGCTTTTTTAACAAGGAAATTTACAAAATAAAAACTTTAAAAACACATTTGTAATAAATAACTCAACTGTTTAAGATTAAGATATGTTTACATAATTTAATGCTGGAACTGAGCAGTTTTTTTTTACCCTTCCTATGCTTTCATATACACCACACTGAATGTCTGTTCCAATGCTCAACAAAACCTTGAATTACTGCACGTGGAAAACTCACAATCTGAAATTTTAATAAATTACAGAACAACACTTCATTAAAACTGTAACATATAATAATAATAATACTACCATTTTGAATCAAACAAGTATTATTACAAATTTTTTTATCATATTCTTCAATACTAATTACAGCACATACACTTCACTAACACACACAATGTGGATAATTAAGTTTATTTTATGAGATCAGTTAATCGTTCAAATGACTAACTAGGCTAAGAATATATTACACATTAAATAATCAATCATAAAAAAGTATAGAAAATCCTGAAAACAATCTCTCAAAAATACAGCAGAAAACTGTTTACAAAATTACTTTCAAATAACTATTTCTTCACTGATTAATTAGAAGGATCTGATTCAATCAATGTTTTAATATTATGCTATTAAGAAAGGCTAGCAACACTAGTTTTCCTCAATAAATCAAGTTATTATTGCTAATAGAAAAAGAGTGACTATACGGTTGTCCAGAATATAACTAGCTAAGAAGCATCACAAACAAATTCAAATTTTTTATAATTTTACTTAATTCAAAAACTTTGCTTACACTTTATACTTAGTCACCCTTTTCAAATTTGCAAAATTACACATATCTCTCAATGGTTGCAGTAAAGAGGTGTTTTTAAGTATATCTGCATAAAATAGAAAAACAAAATTATATATATATTGAGATTGTCTGGATTAAAACACTTCAAGTTTCAAATCACAACTCATTAAGTAAGGTTTTTTAACAAGTTCACTAGAAATTCTACATACCTACACTACATGATAGAGAAAGAAAGTCTATAAAAATAAAAATAAACTTTTTTCTACAAAATTCTAATTCACAAAAAGAAATCCACACTACTAAAAAACAATCTTATACAGTAACATGATAAACAAGGCAATTATAATAGTTGGGATGTTTATCAGAACATGTGGACTAGTACACTCCAGACGCAGCTCGATATACATCTCATAATGCGTGTAGATTTTATGCATCAGACACATGTAAAGGCAGAAGTGTAGACTAGTACACTCCAGATGCAGGGAGTTGCAGCTCAATATACATCTCATAATGCACATAGATTGTATGTATTAGACACAAGTAAAGGCAGAAGTGTAGACTAAGTACACTCTGGACACAGAGAGTTGTAACTTAATATACACCTCGTAATGCACATATATATATATATATTGTATGCATCAGAAACTACTTTAAATACAATAACTGAATTTTTTGTTGTACTCAAAACAAAAATAAATATGATCAACACAAGAGTTTTAAACATTTAAAATAAAAAAGTTGGCACCCAAGTATACAAAATCATAAATATTCCAGTTTCATCTAGGTGCAGGATGCTAAAGTTCAGCAAAAAAAAACAAACAAAACATGATTCCACATTCAGAAAAACTTCACAGGCTCATAAACTAGCTGCTCTTGATGTTTCTGAAATAAACAGAATACACAAAGTTGTTCAGTTCAAGAACAGTTTTAACAAGTGGTCCCATGGACAGAGATCACAGGCATATATGGACAAATATGTTACTGTTTGGAGGTTCACCACAACAAACAAGATAAAACTATTATGAAACAATATTAGTAACTCTTAGATTCAACACAAAAATATATAAGCTCCCTACTTAACTTGATGACTAGGGCTATATTAGAAAAAAAAAAAGTCCCAAGAAAAGTTTGAGTTGCCTCCCAATAAAAACAAAACTGGGTGATAATATAATTAAGTTTTGTTTTAAGAACCTTTGTTCTTTAAAAAGAAAAATTGTACAAGGTTACTTCTTATGTGGGGGTAGGATTTACCACAATACTAACAAACCCATCAATTAGCTTACATTAGAAAAAAACATTTTTATTCACTCAAATATCACTGTAGATTAAAACCAAATTAACATAACATTTTTCCTCTAGTACGGTTAACCTTTGTGCCTGTACAATGTAACCTCCATTCAAATGATTCTTGTGCATCTTCCTGTGGCCAGTCAGCATCACAACACATTTCCTTGTGACTGGAGGTATCGATAAATATAGAGTCGATAATCCTTGCTTGCCAATACTACAGAACCATCGTCCACAAGAGCCACATCAAAACACTGGGCATGTTTCACCTTGCTTTCCAGAGCACTGACCAACTGCCCATCCTGTGTAAAAATGGTAATGTTGAAATTATTGTGATTATCAGCCACTAGAATTTCTCCAAGAGGACTGATGCACACACCAATGGGATAGTTGGTTATTCCTTCTCCACCAATCTGCCACAAGAAGAACCCCTCATAACTGAACACTTTCACACAGTGAGCTCTGTTATCACTGATGAAGATTTCCTGCTTGTCATTAACGACAACTCCATTGGGGAACTCCAAGTGCTTGGAACATCCAAATTTGTGATGAACATTACCCAAAAGATCAAAAATAAGAACACGCATCACCTTGCACTCCACCACGATAATACGACCTTTATTGTCAACAGTCACACCTCTTGGATGTTGGAGGATGTTGGCTCCAAACTTGCGGACAAACTGTCCATACTGGTTGTATATCTGGATCTGATGTGTTGGGCTTCTCTCAGTAACAATAATATCACCAGAAACCTTTACAACTGCAACTCTGTTGGGATACAGCAACTGCCCATCTCGTTTCCCACATTCTCCAAACTGAAACTTAAACCGACCTTCTTTGTCAAAGATCTGGATCCTGTGGTTATTGGTGTCGGCTACTATGATATCACTCTGAGCATTCACAGCTACACCACTTGGTTCTGTAAACTGACCCTCCATTACTCCAAACTCCCCAAACTTGCAATGGTAAATCATCTTCTGACGCTTTATTTGAGACTTTAAAGGAAAGATGTTTGAGCTTACTAATTTTGATGACAAGTCAAAAAGAGGGTCACTTGAAACCAAGAAAGTATCTGAACTATTTTGAAATATGTCACTAGGGGCATTTGACCATTTCTCATAAGAACTTAGATCTCCCAGATTAGTCAGAAAAGAACCAGAAGTGTTAGCAGATCCAAATTGTTTAGAAATTATGTGGGATTCAAGCATATGGCCATTTTGATAAGATCGTTCTGATCTAATTAAACAATTTGGCCTAGCAATTGGTTGTGGCTTGACTTCTGTTTGCAGTTCTGAATTTTGCCGAAGATAACCAAATGTATTTCGCACTCCAACTTGGATGGCCTGATAATTAGATACAAATTCAAGATCGAATGAATTTAACCCAATAACTGGATTGAATCCAAGAATATTTTCAAATTTTGAAGACAACAATTGCTTAAACATAAGTATTTCTGCATTGCTTGAGAACTTCATTATTTTTTCCACAAACTCACACATCCCAATAATTTTGTCAACATTCTCTTGAACTTTCTGACCAAGCATTGATATAGTAACTATTTTTGAGTTATAAGCATCATCAAGTTCTTTCAAAATCTCCCTCTTCCTTTCTTCTAAAACTGAGAAGTAAAATTGGTAAGTGTCTTTGATTTCTTTTTGTGCTTTTTCATACTGGACTTGAATACTATTGGTAGAATGCTCTATTGTTTTCAAATTATTCTGCAAGTCTGTGCTCTTCAACTTGGAATCTTCAATCAAACAATTCATAAACTCAACCTGCTTATGCCCAATTTCATCCAAGTGGTCAAAACTGTGTAAGCCTTTTGGATGTTCAACAATAGCACAGTCCTTGCAAATGAGAATATTACATGTTCGACAGTAGTACTCCAAAGTTTCATTTCTGTGTCGGGAGCAAAAGATAGGTTTCTCAGCCTTAGTGCCATCCTTACTACTCTGCAACTCTCCCAAAGTGAGAACCCTATGTCCCTCAAAGCAGTGCATGAACTGATGAGCCATCACACAGTTTGAGCACAAGAAGTTGGCACAATCAAAACAGCGAGCAACTGCATTGTTTTCTTTAGTTCTGCAGCCAGTACATGAAAGTGATGTTGCTTCCATAGCATTTACCTCCAAAATATTGCTAATGGCATAATCTGAGAGAAGACCAGACACACCTTGAGCTGTCAATAGGCATTCTTCTTGACAATGTGGGCACTTGATCTTATCTGGAGATTCTTGAATCTTCTCAAGACAAGGCTGACAGAATGTGTGAAGACATGGTAATACTTTGGGGATGGTATACATTTCTTGACAAAGAGGACACTTTGTGGAAGGGCTATCCTCCAAGCTGTGGTCAGTACTGACCGACATAGAACTAAAGGCTGTCGAGTCTGGCAAAGAAAGAGTAGGGGAAGCCATTCTGGAATCTGACTGACCAATACTCATTGGTGGACTTCTTGAAGGAACAACAACCTGAAATTGAAAAAGAAAATTTTTTTCTTATCTATTAGTTTTACTTAACAGTTATACATAAAAATAGTGAATTTCTAATGTTTACTGAATACGTTTTAGTTTTGAGTTTTACCATCACCTACATATTAAAATTAACTCTAATAATTTGAAAAATACATTAACTTGCACAATTCTACCACAGCTTACACAGTGAGTAAAGCTATGAAATTTATTTTTTTATGTTTTTCTTTAAAAGTTCTGTCAACCAACAAATATCAACACTGTAGTTTTAATGGGCATCTCTACAGTGGAAAGCCATTTTGGTTTCTGTTCTGAAAACTTCTTTAGGCCTCAGTATAGAAACAAGTAGGAGCTAAAGATCTACCATGTCTACACTGTCTGTCTTAGGTATTATTGTCTCTGAAGAGGATGCTGCTGCTTTACAAGAGGATTTATTGAGTTGGACAAATAAATGGTAGATAGTTTTTCACCCACTGATCTGGTGTGCAGCAGACCCACCTGATGTACATGTAAGCCATTCTGGTTGGATATATATATATAAATACACACACAAACAGAGGACTTCCCTAAAGATGGCAGCACGTTAGAAGTTGGAGCATAGGATAAAATCTAGTTATTAACAAGTACTTAGTAATACTAATAAGTTAGTAACTAATCAATAATTGTGTATTAGATATTCTTCCAAATAGTTGAAATCACAATCAAAAGTACAGAGCTACTATTGAAGCTGAAACTTGATAAACAGGCATCAACATACTTCAAAACAAACATTAACCTAAAGATACTTTGTGGCTACCAGTCACTTTCATCAATTTAAATATTATGTTGGGACCACACCTGGTATCCCATTATTCCTGCTGTCTAGCTTCTAGTAAGGTCAGCCATCTCACTTAGATTTTTAAATGAAAATTGAGGTCATGCAAGATACAATTCCAAGAATTATTAAGATGGAGGCCAGAAAACAAGATTGACTACTTATTCAGTTTAAGCTGTTCCCCATCTTCAAACCCAATAATGGATCTCAGATTGATTAATCTTCATTTTTGTCTTTATTCTAAATAGTTTTAAAATGAATATTGAAAATTCATTACCACCAGACTCTATGTGATGGAATCAACAACGTGTTTGTCATGATATAAAAGACTGTTTGGTTTAAATATTAGTGATTGATTTATATTTGTGAGTGAATGTTTTTATTATTTTTAAATTTTGTTATAATAAGAATTAAAAGCAGACGATTGTAAAAGGTTTTGTTAATACCTAATTTGTGTCGAGAATATAGACAGTGGCTGGACAACTACGTAATAAATAGCATGAAATGAGCGGGAAGCAGCAGACAGACAGTATTAGACAGATAATAGCAAAAGAGAATACAGCTGTGTGGAGTCAAGTACCGCAAAGGCAATAGGCCTAACGTTTAATATGTTAGAGTGAAACTAACAGTATAAAAAAGATAAGAAGGATAATTTTATTCCACCAAAGTGTGGTTCTAAAGTAATTGAATCAGCCTGGGTACATTTTGACAAAAGGAACAGAGGATCTTCAGATGAAAGAAGACCAAATGAATTATGGTAACTTGCACCACAACTGTAGTGTAAGTGAATCACACACAGAATATTAGTGCAATAGTAATACAGAGAAGAGAGTTCAACTTGTCAACTGAAATTCTAAAGTAATTGAATAGGACTAAGTGGACTTTTGACAA